CCCTTGCTGGCCCCACTAACACCTCTTCCAGCAGCAACCTTAGTTTTTTCCAGGAGGTCTCCCATCCAGGTACTGACCAGGCTCACAGCTGCTGACCTACAGTGGGTTGCCAGTTGTGAGTTGCAGGGTGATATGGCTGCTGGCTGATACTACAGGCATATCCGCTTCGCCAGGCCAGCCATGCCCAGTTGTGTTAACTAAAGCCGGGCATCCAGTTCTGCACCTTCAATATTTTTCAGAACTCTAATGCATTTATCCCGTCTCCACTGTGTGTTTCTTCAGGATTGGCCACTGTGGTAGGGTGAGTTGTGGGAGGGGAACGTGAGTTCTCAGATGTCTTGGAAGGTGCTCTCTGACATGGCTGCTAGATAATGTAGTTGTAGTATTCTGTCCTCTGTGCATCAGGGTGCAGCTGCCTTGATGTCAGTCTTAACTCCTCTAGGTGAAGATGTGTGCGTTGTAGTGACAGTGCAGTAGATTTTCTTGTTAGTCATAAACCCCTGTGTGCAGTCTCATGGATTATTTTTGCTTATGATGAGATGGTTGATGAACCGGTTAACTTTGGGTTATAAAAATAATATAATGGTGGTTTGTGCCGTATGTGCAGACTGAATGACTTTTTTTTTTCTCTTTTTATGTGATATGTATGTTAATTTAGTCCGGTGTGTCTTTTTTTTCTAAATAGCATGTACTTCACTCTGAATGTTTTTAAGACTCTCTGTATTAATGATGAGTGTTTAGACTGTTCTAAGGGTTGTGTCTGTTTGCTGATTCCCATTTTAATAGAGCAAGGTACAGAGGAGCTATGTCCTCATGCGAGATGGGATTCAGATACAGTATGTTGCTGTTGACACGGTTCATTGATGTGATGACTATCAAGGACATTAGGGTAAAATGTCGATCATGAGGCACAGAACCAAAAGATGCTGGAAATTGAAACAATCCTCTGCAGATTATGAAAAGCCGTCTGATAAGGTCACGCTGTTGTGAGAAAGCTGATACATTTCCAGTGTATGCAATAGCTGTGGCATAACAGTTCTTACAGTGCATGACGTGAAGCAAGTAATTTTCCGAATGAGAATATTAATTTAGTTTGTTTTGCATTTACCAGAATCTTTTAAATTGGACTGTCATTGTTTTTTTCCAAACTTTTATCAGGCAAGTCAATTGAGAACAAATGTTTCTTATTTACAGTGACTACCCAGAGACCCATTTATACAACAGGATGTTAACTGGAATGAAGTGAAGTGTTTTGAGTCCAGGTCTTTTAGCTCCCTACTCCAGTCATTGGAATTAGGTTCACATTTATATGTACAAGCAGCAATTTTATTTGGTTCATGAGTGGCTACTTCAGGATTTGTGTTTGTAGGTGACCTCTAGATGAAGGGACTTTTTCTTTCCTTCCCCCGAGCTCTATATAGGATGTTCCATACAGAGGTATGATAAATGAGCAGGAGAAACTGGGACATCGGGTTATATCTGTGCCATTGTCTGTGCAGCATTATGGATTGATTGTGTTGCTTCACTTCAAGGTCAGAGCAATAATAGTGTAACATGTTTTAATCATTCATTAAAATGAAATGATTTGTATTATCTCTGTATCTGTTATCTGGACTGTCACTGATGGCAAAGGGTTAGATTATGCCCACAGTGACAATCAAAAGACGTGCCTCAGAACTGTCGTGCTCCCAGAGAGAGACCTCTCTGCTCTCCAATCTGGACTCACATTTGGAAAACAGAAGTAGGTCCAGGTGTTTTCTTAAGGCTCTCCAGATCAATAGAGCTCCTCCAGTCAATATGAAATGGTGGTGTATGAAGTGGCAGCGCATTTCATTCTGCCTTGCACTGAGAGTGATCCAGGATCCAGGGTTTACAGGGCGAAGGCGAATTACAGGTTAGTGTGTCAAGAGAAAGACATTAGTGACCTGGGATCCTGAAATGTCCTGAGATTGATAGAATTGGCAGTGCTTCGTCACTCTTTGAGAAGGTGCTGTTTTGCACCATTGTGGCTTAGTGGATTACGGCTTGCAGTCATACCCAACCGTTGTTTTAATATTAAACCCTAGAGACTCCTGGAGGGGCTTCAGGGTGTGCAGTACCAGCTCCGTGTTTCCCTCTTCGATATCACCCACCGGCATGTCTTTGGAAGGACGTGGAGGAGCTCAGAGCAACAAATGAAGACACCCCAAGGCCAGCCATACAGGGTTTCTTTTAACGAGGTAAGAAGCTACCTCTGCTTCTGTACTGCGCTTCTGTCCTTTTCAGTGCTGATCGTATTGACGCCTTTTGTCAACTACAAATGAATGTGAGATTTTTAAAAACGTCTCTATCATATACTTTCGGTCAATGCATTGAAGTGTGTCTGTTTTTGGGGCTTCCTTTCCTGTGCTGACTGTTGTCAAAACAAACTGCTAGTTTTCATATGCATATATGCATATGCACGTATATTTGAAGTGTCTTTTTAACCATTTCTTTGATGTAGCATTTTTTATGAAAACATTCTTAAATATACAGTCTCTTTCTTATAAAAATAATTTTCAAATCTGAGAGAGACTACGTCTATAGTCATATTTTTCTCACTTCTAAAGAGTCCTAACTAGAGCTAACTAGGGTTTGTCTTGAAACATTTTGATTGAGCTGTCAAATTATAAGTTGCTTGTATTTCAATTAAATACCTTTTAAATGTAATCAGTTCCTCAATTAAATGAGACTTAATTTAATAACAGTTACTTTCAACTAGAATTTTATTTATCTTGCTGTATTAATTTAGGAAACATAAATTTTATGTTTATATAAGAACAAGAAGTTGTCATTGATGAATAGTTAATCATTTCTCAAGAGCATTGAACAGCTTTACATGTTCATTAAATATGAAACATGTGATGATAAGTAATAGAAAAGTAGACAGTAATGTCATTCCAGGTGATTTACATAAATGAGAACAAAGGTGAAGAAAGAAAGTAATAAATTAAAAATAGGGATCCATAAGAATCACATTTAGACAAATGGAAACCCCCTCTGGAAGTAGTTTCAGTTTTAACAGATGGTGAGAAATTGATCTTAAGTTCAATTTACTTCTTATTGCTCATTTATACAAATGGTATTTCCATAAGCTATAAACATCGTCATTTAAATATTGCTTCTAGTGAAAGGCCAAAGAAACCGTGCTGTTCTTACAGTGAAGGCCCATGCAGTTGCTTATGAAATATGAATTTGGAGCTGCAATGTGGCATAACTAGTAAAAGAGTTCACTGGAGCTCTTGTTGAGCCCTGTGGTCCAGATATTGCTGGTTTCAGTCTGGGATGTTACATTACCTGGCTTTGACCATGTTTCCCCAAGTCACTGTACTCTTTCATTTAGAATATTGCTTACTGTTCTGATCACCATGTAGCAAAAAAAGTCCAAACATGATTCTTCAGAATAAACAGAGAAACAAACCAGAGAACACAGTGGGAACTATGCAGTGCATTTAAAACTGAGAACAGGAAGTACTTTGCTCAAAGTGTTGTAGGAGTATGGAGTGAACTACCCCACTGTGTAGTTGAATTAGGTTCCTAGATCAATTGGCTACCGAGTGGGTTAAATGGGTCCAGGGGCCTTCATTTGCTTGTAACTATTCTTACGTTCTTAGGACCACAAGGGTTCTGCTGGGTTTAGTGGACCTGTGCTGCCTTTGCTAACCTCAGTTCACAGCAGAGCAACAGCAAACCTTACAGCAGCAGCCCTTGTGGCTTGCTTGCTTGGGTCCTAGGTGCTGTCTGGATAGCAGTATGCAATAGTGGGCGAGGTTTTGGATTTTGAACCAGAGGGTTGTGGACTGAAATCTCTGGTGAGATGCTGTGGCTGTACCCTTGAGCAATGTGCATCACTCAGATTGCTCTAGTGACAGGCCATATGAATGGATACTCTCCAGGTTTTCATTGTAAGTCAGAATTTGTTCTCAGTTGACCTATCTGCATACATAAATGATTAAGTAAAGTGAGATCTGCACCCTGCTAAGTAATTAAATAAATTCTGTCACTCCACCAGTGCATTTTAACCCTACAGTGGGGTTAATATGCACTAGTGTGGTGTGAATAAATGTAAATGGAGCAGCTTGTTATAGAGGAAGTCCTCATCTCTTTCCAGTGATACTAGGGCTGTAGTGTTAAGCAGAGGTAATGAACAACTCACAAATACTGTATGCACTGAAAGAAGAAAACAACTCATTTCAGTCGAAAGAAAATGGTCAATGTTTTATTGAGATATAGGCTAAAAACTGCAAGAAACAGTTTTAAGTTTGTTTTAAAGTTGTATTAACATTATTTTTCTTAGAGGGTAAATTACTTATTCTCCTGTCATGTACATAAAGGTTGTGAAGTAATTTCTTCACATGTGTGCAATAGGAAAATTACTTTTTTCTTCCATAAAATTATAGCTCTATATAATGTAGTGTGTTTCTATTAAGGAATTTTGTTATTTTTAATGCTACAGTGTTGTGATCTGTAAGATCAGGGGGTTTCTGGCTCCTCCTCATCAATCCTCATCAGCTTTTTGAAATTTTGAAATTCTTTTTGTCTTCTTGCCACTTGCTTAAACTAAAGTAGGTCACCTGTACTCATTCAGAAGATTATGCCATTGTTGGGTTGTTCCTTACACTGTTAATTGAATTCCCTACAGTCACCACCTTTCTGCAATTCCAGAAGCCAGGGTTTTATTTAAAGCAATTTTCAAGCAGCTCCCAGGCACCCCTGGAGGCTTATGGTGATTTTAGGAGTTTTCCATAAAGCTGACAAACTGCCAAGATGCTGCAGTCATGACAAAAAATGTAAATGAAACTAACAATCAGTGGTGGCTGTGATGTGTAATTAGCAACCTGTTGGCTGTAGGATGTCTGAAGTGTAGTGTTGTAGATTAGCTGTAAATTGCTGTGATTTTCCTCTAAATCAATCACTGGTGTGATTTCTGTGCTTTATAATTGCTGGTATTTGTTGGGGGATTATACAGCAATTACATGCGTAATCCCTGTGAAACAAAAGTGATATCGTAAATTTTGCACCAGTGGTAAAAAAAGGACTTTGCTTCACATTATTAAGACATATTATCTGGTTGGCCTTTTTTGATAGACCATTATCATTGTATTAAGTTTTTTTTGTTTTAATGGTAGGCTCTTGTGGTCAACCATTTCATTAGTTTCAAGCATAAGCACTTCTATTATATCCATTTAATTCATCCTCACTTGCAAAAAGGAGCAGCTGTACTTATTTAGGGTCTAACTTTGTCTGAATCCATCCCTTCATTTTCCAACTGCTTATTCCAATTTAGGGTAATCAGGGAGTCACGGCCTATCTGGGAAAGCAACAGGCACAAGGCAGGGGACCACTGTGGACAGTACACAAGTGCTTCTCCAGTTCACCCACACGCAGTTACAGACATGCGTACACTTTTAAGGCCAAATTTCACAGAAGCGAAATGATCTACCAGTTTGTCTTTGGACTGTGGAGAGAAAACCAGAGCGCTGGAGGAAGCCCACATGGACAGGGGGGAACATACAAACCCCACACAGGTGGCAGTCCAGATCTGAGATTGATCACAGAGCTCCAGTGCTGCTAGGCTGCAATGCTAACCTCCGCAACACTGTGCTGTCCATAGTTCCTCTGTAATACCACTTTTTACCAGTTCAAAGAAGTGTTTGTTGCTTTCTGGTTCTTTGCAGCAGAATGTGAGTGATTAAAAGGAAAGAAATGAGCAGAATGCGAAGTCTCGTTGTATTATAAAACAGGATATGAAAGGCAAACTTTGGATATTTTCATTGGATATTTATACCTCCTGTATACCCAAGATTCTTGGATTGGCAAATCTCTGTCAGTGAACGCAAATTAGGCCTCAACAGTTAGTTGCTCTTTCTGCTCAAGGTTTGTTTCGTAAGGCCCTGCTTCATGTTGCAGAGGCATGGTATGAAAGAGGCTTTTCTGTCCTGTGTCAAATAGTTCATGCTTGTGGAGGAGGAAGAAGCCTGTCAGTAGCCCTTTATGCAGGTTCCTTGCAGAGCTCGCGCTGAGTCAGTCTTAATTCCAGACAGAAGTGATGGCTGCCAGATGCACTCACTTTGAGACCCTGTCTTGGGATGTCAGAAAGAATCCCCGACAGCACGCAGCATTAAAGTGGGCATCATTTTTAATTACCCGCCTCAAAGTAAAGGTTGGCAGACCAGGCGCACTCAGTAGTGCTGTGTGACAAGCTGGATGGTGCTTGAGACTATAGTATGGTCCGAGTGCTGCACTATCTTTAATTTATTTCTCTCTCTCTGGACTGCAGAGTCAGGAGTGGCTGGTATCCAATACCAGTTACTCTTCTTTTAGGCATTGAGATCTTCAGGAGGAGGATAGTCTCAATCTCTCCAGCCTGCTAATTGAAAGATGTGGCAGAAGCTAAAATGGGAAATGGCTTTTAAGATGACTTTTAAAATAAGGTGCCATATAATGTTTACTTAGGGCAAAAACTAAATACCCCTTCTTTTATACAGTAGAAGGGTGTTGCTTCATAGTAAGGGTATTATGTCAGGTAAAGCAGTTATCAGATGTTGTTTGAATATTAAGCAATGAAATTGCATAAAGTTGTCTCATTTTCTTTAATAATATTCAATAGTATCTCTCCACATTGTTAACTGGGGAATATTCTTGATGGAATTCACCATTTTAAAATAAAGCAGTAGAGTAAATAGGTCTGATGTGGCGGATTTCTTACTGTCTCCTTTTTTGAAGTCCTGCAATAAAAATTAAATTAAATATTTTTCCCCCATCCTTGCAATATTTTCATAACAGACTAACAGTTTATTGTTTCATATCTTGGACTAACACTTGCTTCATAGGTAAGGACAGTAAAAGATAAAATTACTAGTATGAAATTGTGAATTCCATCACCTGAAAAAATAATTGTCTATGACATTTCATTCTCTATAAAATTTCTGAATTATTTGCTTAGTATTGGAGAAAGAGGGTGTTTATGTAGCATGTAGTACAGACAGCTAATCTCATATACAGTACTTCAGGCCGTACCTGTCTTTTTAAGGTTAAAATCTGTCTCACTCTGTAGTTATAGCTTTTGTAAGGCATTGCATGTTTCTTACACCTCTGGTGTTTTGCTCACTGTTGGAGTAGAATCAACAATTCAGTGTTATATACGGTAAATGCATTACTGGTAATATTAAACTAATGTTTGAAAGAACATTTCCCATCT